TCTCAAAAGATATATTTATATATCTTTATCAATAAATGGGCTTTTCAGAAAATAATATTGACACACATAATGCACAAGGATAAGCATGAGGAATGAAATAAACAACTGAACAATTCCAGAGTCAAATGATTATTACCTCCTTAGCTTAGAACTTGTTTTTTTAATATTTTGAATGACTTTATTTATAAATGACTGAAATACTCCCTACATGTAACTAATATTTTTGGTTTCTACTTTACAATTAGTCTTTTATCCAATCTTTATTATCTAGTTTTATATATGTCTAATAACTCTTCCTGATTACAAATCTACAATTTAGTGCAATAAAATGTATATTGCTAGAGCAAAAACATGATTTTAAAATGCCCTTTCCTAAAAATTTGTATCTTTTTCTCATCCATGTCACTGTTAGTGAATATTTAGGTAATGGATTATCATCTTTAGCTAAGTGCTTTGGTATACCAAACATTAGCAGTGGTTAGCTAATATGATATTTAATAACCAACAAAACATAATCTATCCCACTCTATATCACAAACATATATGTATTCATTATTTTCCTGATGTTTCCATGGAAGTTATAGTGGTAGAAGTAGTGTGCTCCCTTGATAAACAGCTTCTTTAGAAATAGACAAAAACAGGTGAAAAATGACACATTTGATATAGTGAGCCTGCTGTGTACTTGTTAAGACTTTAAGTATAATTACTACTGAAATTGTAAAAAAATAATAAAAATTCCTACATCTGCCCCACATCCTCTTTCTAGTTTCAAAGCAACAGATATTTGTTTATTTGCCTCATGTTATTCATCATCACATTGTCTTTAGTCTGTTAAAAATAGTAATAGGGCTTCCCTGGTGGAGCAGTGGTTGAGGGTCCGCCTGCCGATGCAGCGGACACGGGTTCGTGCCCCGGTCTGGGAAGATCCCACATGCCGCAGAGCGGCTGGGCCCGTGAGCCATGGCTGCTGAGCCTGCGCGTCCGGAGCCTGTGCTCCGCAATGGGAGAGGCCACAACAGTGAGAGGCCCGCGTACCGCGAAAAAAAAAAAGAAAAAAAAATAGTAATAGAAGTAAAGAACATTAGATACAGATGCATTAAAAACTAGAGCTTAAGGCTTTCCCTGGTGGCGCAGTGGTTGAGAATCTGCCTGCTAATACAGGGGACATGGGTTCGAGCCCTGGTGTGGGAGGATCCCACATGCTGCGGAGCAACTAGGCCCGTGAGCCACAACTACTGAGCCTGCGCGTCTGGAGCCTGTGCTCCGCAACAAGAGAGGCCGCGATAGTGAGAGGCCCGCGCACCGCGATTAAGAGTGGCCCCCACTTGCCACAACTAGAGAAAGCCCTCGCACAGAAACGAAGACGCAACACAGTAAAAATTAATTAATTAATTAATAAACTCCTACCCCACAACATCTTCTTAAAAAAAAAAAAAAAAACCGAGAGCTTAGATCACTAAAGACCATATAACTTTCATTTCTAACAAATCAACATAAAACAGTTACTAACAAAGGTATTGTTTTTAGAGATCGACAATAATCTTCAACATAAAATGTTTCCATGAAAATCTATGTAAATGTTTCCATTTTCCTGAACAAAACGATAATATAACTAAAATATCCATGTTACATTAAGTATCATACTCTGATTTCCAAGTTCTGAATGATTCATGATAGTAATACAAAAAAGAAATGCCTTTGCTAAATATTTTCCTACAATATTCTTTCAAAATTCTAACAGTTAATTCATTTGATACGAAGTTTCAATAGACTGCATACCATATTTACCAAATTCATAGCTGAGATAAAGATTACAAAAACACCTATAAGATGAAAAGTTTCAAAGTGGTATAAAATCTATCTTTCAAGACATAATCAAAGATGTCACAAAGAAATCAAAGATTTTAGAAATGACAACACAATTTACCAAAATACTAACATATTGTAAAATGTGTGCATTTCCTCTAAAATACGTAAAATCTCTAAAACCTCTAAGTTTTCCTCTAAAACCTCTGTAAAACAGACTTAGATAAAATACTTAAAATCACTATTATGAAACATGGAGAGGATATTTTATAAAACAAGCCTTCCACCTTTAAGAAAGCCACAAATTATAACTCACAGAATCAAGGTTTTAGATGTGGCCTCAAATTCAATTTTCTTAAGTATGAAATCACAGTACTTAAGTTCAGTAAAGAATAATTTTACATAGTAAAACTGCAGTACTTGAAAGTTCTACAAGACAAAATTGTGCAACATGGCTTTATTTCTGTAGGTTTTCTTTGTGTGTACAAAATTGCATGGAATGTTAAGACTATAAATATTACGTTGTTTGTAGTAAAATCCACTATTCAGACTGGGGACTGGTGCTCTTTCCTATGATTCTTCTCCACATTTCCAGGCTCTATCATTGCAGACAATACTTATATCACTAACTTTAAGTAAAAACCTCTCAGAGTTATTTCTGACTTCAAATATCCATTTTATCACCAAATTCTATTGTCCTCTTTTACCACTTCTCCCAAATATGCAACTTCCTTTTCATTCCTTCACCTATATCCTTATTCCTGACCCTAGACTTCTCCCCCTAAACTACTGTACCTCATTCTCATGAGATAGTTTCCCTAGATTGTCTTTAATTCCACTGCCAAAGTTACCTTCTCTCATGGACATTCTGCTCATGCCACCTACCTATCCTACCTGGGCATTCCAGGGCCTTTGCATTACATTTTTTTTCTGCTCAAGAGCCTCACCCTCAGCAACATATTCATTTATAAGGTTGCCACTGACTTTCAACTCCCATTTAAAATGTCAGTTTCTTCTTAGCCCTGCTAAATGTGCCATATTATCCCTTCAGGTAATCACATTTGCTCCTAATCCATCTGAGTATGGAATACCTTTTATATTTAGCTCTCAATCACACAAGTAATTTATTTAGACAATTTTAGCACAGTGATGACATACACTGTTTCTTTAGTTGTTTGCATACCAATGTCATCCCTATTGGACTGCAGAGACACAGATAAGGGCTGCATCTTTCAAAGCATTCTGTACAACAGCTATCTACAATGTCACTTAACCCAGGTAGGATGATTCACTAAATAAAACTATTATAGAAAGCTTAAATAAAAAAAATTTTTTTAATCTCTATGGTTTAACTTTAAAACATCTATGACCTTTCATTTCCATGGACAGTTGACATACTTTGGTTTCTATTAAGCTTCATTCTCACTACTCTAATAATTTTCAAAGCACAGCTAGAATTTAAAGTGCAAGTTGAGGGTTGATACAGGGTATATACTTTTACACCCCGCAATTAGATTCTTTGAAAATCAGCAATGTCAACTCCAAGACTTCTGAGTTACAACTGAATCTTCACACAAGGCAAGAACTTCAGCACCAAAAGAAAAGAACAGCATCTTGTAATGGGGGGGGGGGGGGGGGGGGGGGCCCCTTCCCTGCAACTGGTGTTTCTCTACAGGGGCTTTCAATTAGGAAAATTCAATAAATCACCATTAACATCTGGAAACAATATAAGAGAAAGGCGACCCAGCTACTTAAAAGACAGGAAGGGGTACCATGGAAATCTTTTTCATAAAACTCAGCAGCCAAATTAAGCTTTGCATTTTTTATCTTACCAAGAGAGAGTTTTTTCTACCTAATAATAAAAGCAAGTCTCATTCAATTCAGTTCCTTCTCGAGCACCGTCTCAACCTGTCAGAATTTGACAAGGGAAAAAAATTAAAAAGTGTGTGTGTGTGTGTGTGTGTGTGTGTGTGTGTGCGCGCGCGCGCGCGCGCGCTGGGGGGGCGGGAGGTGGGAGGAGAACACCAGGATTCCCGTCTACCTCGCTTCTTTTTCCGAAATCAGCAAGTCCTGGATTTCCTTCACTCCGAACTAAGCCCTCAGATTCCAAATATAGTTCTTTAACCCCCACCTCGCCACTCAATTACACAGAAACCTTACCAACTACAGAACCACAGCAGAAACCCCTACAAATCGGCTTGCTATTCATCTCGGAAGTCATGCCCTGCAGCAACTGCCTGTCACCGAACTGAGGGATGTTACCCAAATACAGCGCAACGGAATCAGACATGCAGAGCACACAGGGCTTCCGCGAGGGAGGGAAACGCGACCCGGGAAAAGTGCGCTCCTCAGAAGCCTCGGGACCATCCGGGCGGGGTGCGTGGGGTGGTCCTCGAAGGGAGGGGAACAGAGGAGCCCGAGTGGGGGAATCCTTCCCTCTCAAGTAAAAAGGGCTGGATCCCTGGCCGCAGATTAACAGTCTGTCCCTCTAAGAAAACGAAGAGGCGGGCAGAGGGCCCTTTGCTTGGGAAGGCGGAATGCAAACACTTTCCGAGGTCCGGGTGCAAGCCGATCCCCCACCTCCCGGGGGAGACGAAGGGTGTCCCGTGAGTGGCTGAGGGGATTCCCGGCTCGCGAGGGGCAGCTGGAGGCGGAGCAGAGTTTCGCCTAACGAACACCCGTGTCGGCTCCGGCCGGTGCCCCGCGAAAGCACGCCTAGAGCAGAGCGGGGCCGCCCGGGTGGAAGGAAGGGAGAGGAAAGAGGGGGTGGAAATGGGATTCCCCCCTCTCTGGGACCAGCAGTAGCTGAGGAAGCGCGCGGGCCAGCCGAGAGCGGCGTGCTCCAGCCTGCGGGGCCGGGATCCCGCCGCCTGCGCTGGCAGCAAGGAGCCCCACCGCGGCGGCCGCACTGGCCCCTCTGTCCCCAGGGGCCCAGGACTTCGGCTGCGAAGGCAGTGGGACCTGACATCCCACGGGGTCGGTCCCAGCTCCCGAGGGACCCCGCGGAACACCCCAACCTCCATCAGTTCTCAACGGTTGTAAAACGTCCGCCCCCCCCCCCAGTCCCCTTCCTC